GTTGGGACCCCTGGTCCAATTCGTACACCATCGCAGTAGACAATACATTATACTTGTTACAAGATGATACTCGCGGCCCGATGCGTGCGGCACGAAGCGCGGACCGGATCAAAAACCCTCCTCCTTCATCGCCCGATAGTGCTCGAGCTCCTCGCGCATCGACTTCACCTGTGCCATTAAGTCCGCCAGCTCCGATTGCTCGGATTTCGCTGAAGCGGCACTTATACTTGCCGAGGGTGATGTCGTGACAGGGGCGCTTGTCGCGGCCTGGGTGGATCCCGAGGCAACCGTAGCCTGCGTGTCAGCGCGTTTTGTGTAAGGCTTGTCCTTACAATTGGGGCACTCAAAGCGTCGGTACCCTTGCTTCCCACAGCCGAAGCATGTGCCGGGGAAGTTTCCTTTTCCGACGGCCGCATTGATGCTGGCCGAAGCTGCGTGCGTCGAGGGTGCACCACCACGTGCCCCACCGCGTCCTTGACCTCGGGCCGAGAAGAAGTTATTTAGCTCGGGCCTACGGGCCCGGCTGATATCGAGGATCTGCTCGACCTCGGTGGCGCGCTTCTCAGCTGCTTGCCACGTGGCGAAGGTCTCGAGCTCGATCTTGCGGTAGACGCGGGAGGGGATGCCGCTCAGGTACTTGTCGTGTAGCTCCAGGTCCCCATACCCGGAGCGGTCCGCCGGACCCTTGAACAGCGCGGAGAACTCCGCGGCGGTGTGTTTTTCGCGGACTGACTTATCCGCGCAGAGCTTTGCCAGCTCTACTTGTGCTGCCGCCTCGTCGTCGAGATTTCCGAAGCAGGCCCTGAAGGCGGTGGCAAAGGCCGCTTCGTTTGCGAATGGGGTCGTGGCCCCTTGTACTCCTATCTGTACTGACACAAGCTGAGCAAAGTAGGGAGTGGCCCAAGCGCGGGCGTCTCCGTCGAGCAGGCTAAGTGCAACCTGCACCTTGAGCTCGATGGTGGTCAACGATGTGTTGATCAGCCAGTAGATGCGCAGCTGCGACAGGAACCAGTTGCACTCGATGACGGTCTTGCCATCGTAGTGGAGCGGGAGGAGGAGTTTCAACGTCTCCTTATCAGGGACGGCAGCGGGAGAGGACATTATCGGCGACGAGGGGGACGAAGGACTGCCCGCGGACGAAGGCGACTGTTGTGACTGTCCACCGGGCGGACTTCTCGGGGAACGAGTGCTTGAGCAGCCTCGCGGCGGCGACGGCGGTGAAGTCGGTTGAGGAAGCCCGGAGGCGGGGTTACGTAGGACAGGGACTGGAGTCGAGGCGGTGACCGCTGACGACGAGCTGGCCCAAGAATGCGGCGGAGTGTCGCGGGGCTCGGTCTTGGGAGGCCTTTCTAGCCGCGGCCCCAGGGAGGGCTGGGGGATCGCTTGAGGGGTCGCTGAAGGCTGTGCGACTGCCTCAGTTCCTCGAGGGAGATAGGGATCTCCTCGTGCTTGACCTGTACTGGCGACAGGTTGGGGGATGCGGGTGCCTGGCGAGGCAGGTCGGGATGGGACGGGAGTGACGTGGCAAGATGTAGATCTCGAGGTGCCAGCATACCGGAGTGCAGGGCCTCTGGGGTGTTGGACTCGTCGGATTGGCACGAAGTGTCCTTCGTCAACAGTGATGGACCGTGGAGTGCGATTAGGGCACGGTTGCCGATCACAGATGAAGAAAGGAGCTCTGTCTCCGTTGCTGTTCGGGTCGTCACGAGAGACGTCGACCTGCTCCTGGGTGTCGAAGGCGTGCTCAAGTCGAGAGCAGTCGAAGAATTCGTCAGCCACGTTGATGGGGGGAGGAAGGGGAGGTGCGCGTGCTACGAAAGGCCGTGCTAGCTAGCTTACACCTACGGCGCCCAAGGTAACACTAGGGTTCGCAGTTCACGTGGGGCCCAGTACTGCTTTTGGCTAGTATGCAGCAGGAACCTCAGCCACGCGTCCGTGAGGACAAGTACCGCCCACTGAAGTGCAGGTACTGAAGAGTTCGTCCCCTAAGTGGTGGCGATGTATAGTATGCTATCTAGGTATCGTAGGGTACAGTAAGGGTGCGCACCACCCAACCTATAGGAAGTGAATGTAAGTGTGTGGGTCCCGATGGAACGCCGGCAGCTGTGGGGAGTTTCGACCTAATGTCGCGACTTGAGGTCGAGCGACAGAGGAAAACCTGAAAGCTGGGGGCGTTCGACTGGTTCTTACCGAAGCGATGGTGAGCAACGCTCAAACCTAAGGCTAGGGACAAGGTAATATATTAGTGAGGTAAGAAAAGGAATACAAAGGATGCTTACTGACCTAGGGACAAGAGGTCGAAACTGAGGTCCCTAGGGCAGCAGAGGCCGGTTTATATACAGGGGAGGTTAAGGGCAGGCTGTGCGCGTTGGTCCGTGCGCAGCTGGTCTGTGCG